ATCTCTTCCTCTCTAGTTTGTGTCAGTTGCTGGCTTTATTGTCAACATGATTGGAGTTATGAGCTTCCATTCACACATTGGGCATTCACACGGCCACTCCCATGATCATGGCCACTCCCACGGTCACTCCCACGGCCATTCTCATGATCACAACCACGCCCACTCTCACGGCCACACCCACAATCATCATAGCAACTCTCATTCCCATGATCATAGCCACTCACATTCACATGATGGCCATTGTCACCACAGCAACTCGAATATGCATGGTATGATATGCGAATAAGATAAAAGTTTTATTAATAGGAGTATGTTTTTTGTTTCTTTTCCCCTCCCTTACTCTCCTCCCTTTAGGTGTATTCCTTCACGTATTAGCTGATACCTTGGGTAGTGTTGGTGTCATTATCTCTTCGCTATTAGTCCAGTACTTTGGTTGGCTTATAGCTGACCCAATCTGCTCTCTCTTCATTGCTATACTCATAGTTCTGTCAGTCATTCCTCTACTGAAAGCATCAGGGACTAATCTTATACTAGCTACACCTCCTCATTCTGGTGTCCAGGAAGCACTTGATAAGGTACGTAGATTACAGGGCAAGACTTAGATGTATTCAGGTTTCTCACAAGATTTTGGCATAATGCTCAGCTTTTTACATGTTCTTGTGTTGCGTAGCAAGTTTAAACTGATTTCGATCAAAATTGGATTTTTAATGAAATTTTTTAAGCTGCTCCAAAATCTGGTCAAAGTCCCTGTACTATAGTACAGGGATTTTGCCCAAATTTTGTCAAAAATGAAAAGGAGAGAATTCTTCATTTTTGTAATTTTTCTGATACATATACATGTTCTTATGTTGTATAGCAAGTTTGAACTGACTCTGATCAAAATTGGATTTTTTATGGATTTTAAAAGTTACTCAAAAATTGGACCAAAGACCCTGTACTATAGTACAGGGTCTTTGGCCAAATTTTGCCAAAAATGACTAGGAGAGAATTCTTCATTTTTGTAATATTTTCTGATACATATACATGTTCTTATGTTATGTAGCAAGTTTGAACTGATTCCGATCAAAATTGGATTTTTTATGAATTTTTAAAGTTACTCAAAAATTGGGCCAAAGTCCCTGTACTATAGTACAGGGTCTTTGGCCAAATTTCGCCAAAAATGACTAGGAGAGAATTCTTCATTTTTGTAATATTTTCTGATACATATACATGTTCTTATGTTATGTAGCAAGTTTGAACTGATTCCGATCAAAATTGGATTTTTTATGAATTTTTAAAGTTACTCAAAAATTGGGCCAAAGTCCCTGTACTATAGTACAGGGTCTTTGGCCAAATTTCGCCAAAAATGACTAGGAGAGGATTCTTCATCTTTGTAATATTTTTTGATACATATACATGTTCTTATGTTGTGTAGCAAGTTTGAGCTGATTCCGATCAAAATTGAATTTTTTATGAATTTCTAAATTTACTCAAAAATTGGGCCAAAGTCCCTGTACTATAGTACAGGATCTTTTGCCAAATTTCGCCAAAAATGACTAGGAGAGAATTCGTCATCTTTGTAATATTTTTTGATACATATACATGTTCTTATGTTGTGTAGCAAGTTTGAGCTGATTCCGATCAAAATTGAATTTTTTATGAATTTCTAAATTTACTCAAAAATTGGGCCAAAGTCCCTGTACTATAGTACAGGGTCTTTTGCCAAATTTCGCCAAAAATGACTAGGAGAGAATTCGTCATTTTTGTAATATTTCTTGATACATATACATGTTCTTATGTTGTGTAGCAAGTTTGAGCTGATTCCGATCAAGTTTGAGCTGATTCCGATCAAGTTTGGATTTTTTATGAATTTTTAAAGTTGCTATTATATGATTTATTGGCATACTATTACTTTTGTTAGGATATTGAGCCATGCCAAGGCTCAGTGGTTGAGTATGTCCCTAGTTTACTTGGAAGTGATGAGAAAATGGAGGGATATTTGATTTTTGCAGGCGGTCCTAATCTTAATGAGCTCAGTATCTACTGTTACACTGTATGCATGCAGTACTTGTATAATAAGAATGATGATATACAAATTATTTATAAGATAATTCTACCATAATTATTTCATCATTTCTCCTTAATTAATAACCTCCAGATATTACTGTATTATCTCATCACACTGACAGTAATCCTAGTAGCTCTGATGTGAAGGATTATGAGTCTTTCTATCAATACATCAATGAGTCCGGTTCATTGCGACTCTCTTGTGCTGAAACCCACAGAATGCCCGGAAGGATAACAGAGATTGATTCAGCAATTGTGAATGAAAGAAGTAAGTCAAGACTCAACAGTGTGTTTTGTAAATTACTGCACTCTATCATTAGTATTAAGAAATATACTATTACATTAATTTATGATGCTTTGTGTATAATTATTACTGTTGTAAAGGTGATGTGTGCATCCATAATTGTTTAATTATTTCTTCCTATAGTATTTGTTGCTGTAAGGACAGGCTATTACATTGCATTATTTGATGTAAGGGGGAGAATGAGAAGGTGATGATAACTGTCATTATAATTAATGATTATTAGGGCCCAAACAAGTCAACCGAAAAACGTCTCAGAAGAAAATGGAAGAGCCCATCAGTAATGGTGAGTTAAGGGAAGAGATGACTGCGAGTTCATTTATATTCTGATAGTCTCCATCGCCAATTACTCTTCTCAAGTCACTTAAAGTTTATCAAACTCCTGCCCTTACCAGCTCCATCTCAATCTGGTATAATATTATGAGAAAACACACAACTGTTCTTCTGATTTATTTAGCCTTTTACTTTATGCTTTCTTTCTCCCCCTTGTGATATTTTTCTTTTGTTTGCCTAGTCCTTATATTTATGGAGAGTGTTTATTTATGATTGAAACTGGTGGGCTCTATTTGTGGAGCTTTGAAGAAGGGTAAGTGTTATAACAATTATGTATCTGTAAAGTGTAATGGGTGATACACACTGTAGAAAATAACATACTGTGTACAGTGGAACCTGTGCTAAAGGTCACCTGAGTAGTGAGGCCACCTCTCTATTACAGCCATAAGCCAAAGTCCCAATCAAGACCTGTACTAAATGGCTGTATTACATAGGCTGACCTGTAATGCAGCCACCTACATAATCAGGCCATTTAATACTGGCCCAAGGGTGACCGGATTAAGCAGGTTCCACTGTAGTGTGTAATGACCTCTCTTTCTTTCTCTCTGTCTTTTTTCCCCTTGCAAGGATAAAAGAAATCCAGTCGCCTTTATGTGACCCTTCCTCTCTCTCTCATTTGTGGAGGTGTGTCTGGGGGCCACACCTTTTTTCTGCCGTAGTCCTGGAGCATAATTGCGTCTCGTTAGTTGAATTTAGGAATGACAAGGTCACGCATACATATATTATAGATCGGGTAAGACTAGCCTTGGATTATCAATGCTTTTATGCAAAGTATAACTCTATAGGACAGTAAGTACATGTCATCTAATTGGATCACGTCAGCTATTGTACAGCACCCAATCCAACCATTTTACATATTCATTGCAACGACTGATAAAGTGTTGCTGTTCGATTTACGCCAGCTGCATGAGCCGGTAAGCTTTTTGTTATCAAAGTAATGACTCTGAAGTCACTTGTGGTAAAGGTTTTAGAGATAAGGCACGAGATTTCAAAGACGATACATTATTTGGGCGTGGCTTGTTTTTCATGGCAGCCGGAAGTGACTAGTCTAATGATGTCTTCACTGCATGGCCCACAATGTCAGGTTGTGAATATAAGAGGTAAGTACATGTAAATTTATTATTTATTAGTATTAATATTTATTTATTTATTATCATATAACTAGGTGGTTACAATTTATCTGAAGAGAAAGTTCTTCCGCCAAGAATATCAATGACGTTACATGCCGTAGATACATACAGGTAAGGCCTCTTTTTTGAGGTAAAACTTCAGAATTTTAAATTGAAGTCAGCTCAATTCTTATAGCATAGGATATCGGTATGTAAATCTATTACAAGTTGAGAGACAATTTTTGAATAGTCCCTGCAGATTTCATGACACTATTAAAATATGTTTCTATATCTATATATCATTACTTTAAGTTATACACATAATATCACGGTATTCTTTATTCTTCAGTACATTTTGTGAAGAGCTCAATCTCTCATCATCGCTACTTTACTGTCGTTTAACTCAAAGTCTAGCTGGGGCTTGTTTCGTTCCTCTTCTCTCGTCACAGACACATTGTGCCATTTTCATTTCCTCAAAAGGTGACCTTTTCTACCAGTCGTGGCTTTACGGGGCTCCTCCCCCAAAAACAAAACCAGTCGTACCTCATTTACCGTCAGAGGTCAAATTATGGGTTGAAGAAGCATTGAAGATGGAGAGGGTGGGTTTAGCCATGTTGTGGGCGTGGTTATATGTCTTTTTTGGCATTTGTAGGAAGTTGAGGCAACGACTGTTGGCCTTGCCAGTAAAGAAGGCAAGACCAATGATTTTGAGCTAATATTTGATTGTGAGTTAACTATTCAAATCTTTTAAGTATACATTTTTATTCCATACAACATGTTGAATATAAAAATGTACTACATTCATACTTCTGTATGGACTGCTCTGCATGCAATGTTGGGCTTAATTGGATTTCACTCGATGATGCATGCATAGATATATTGTCAGATTTACCTGATGAGGGTCTATGCTTGAAGTGTGCGACTATACTTCCATTGGAAGGAATCAGAGTAGAGCCACACCCTCCTCCACCAACCAATGGGACTAGCATTCTTTGGAGATGCTCCTTTTGTCTTGAAAGACAAGTACTGAGAAGATATCTGAAGGAGACAGAGTTAGTTTAATCCTGATTGGGATAATATTTAGCAGTAGCATATAATAATTTTAGTAGGAGTAATCACTACCATATATTAGTAATAGTAACGATACTAATAATGATCCAATTGCATAATCCTAATATAGTAAGACCCCTCCCTATTTCTCTCAGGAGTCTTGATGTTGATACGACTGGTATAGAGTATTTACAGAAGGTGGCAGGGATTTCAAACGAGACTGATCCTAAGTCTCTAGTCTCAGAGTATGACGAGTTATGTGATTTGTGGGATAAGTGGGACGCTGCTCCGGAACCAGAGAATGAAAATGAGACCCCTGGGGGTGAGGGGGGAAAAGCTGATTTGAATCCTATCAAAGAAGAAGGAATGGAAGGTAGTCAGTCTAAAGCTTCACAATCAAGAACCAATGGTTAGTTTGCTTGGTTCTTCACAAAATTAATATTTTCTCACGTCTGTATCAGATACCCCATCACAGCCGAGAAAGAAATCAAAATTTGGATTTTAATAATGTTTATTTTAATAATGCAAATATTTATAATCACATTTCAGAGTTATTCAGATACAGAATGATCACAATGAATGCACAAAATTGATTATTTTTCTACATGAATATGTACATTAATGTATGTGTAATTTTGTATTTCAGTATCAGTTTTCCTCATCAGTACTGTCATCGCTAGAATTCAATCCAACATGATACAAGTCTTTAATTTCTTGTAATTTGACTAACATTTCTTGATGTGAATCAGCATCAAGGCAAGTTGAATGATAGACAGGAACTCTCCTTATATCAACACTTCTGGCCTCTCTGTGAAGAGTCTTAAAAAATTCCTCTATACCTGAATGAGACTGGAGAGTTGTATAAGAGGAAACTAAGAAAGAGAGAGAGAGAAGTACATGTAGTTATTAAATAAACAGAGATATACATGCATCCACTCATATGTTGCAAGATTTACAGTCTCATACCTGTTGATGTTCCTGTGTCCTGTTTAGTGAATATCTGTGGAAACGGAGTTGCTAGCGGTAATGGGGTTTGATACATAGAGAGTTGACTGTATAGAACAAAAATAGTAATAATAATAATAAATAGTAATAATAATAATAGTTAATTTTTCTCTCACCTGTTTGTTGTTGGATGTGATTCATACACTGCACGAGTCAATGCAGATTTTAAGTCTGGGCGTGGCTTATCGTCATGACAACCAAACAACTCCCTATGCACAAAAAAGAGTATTTAAAAAATAGTAGATACAGTCTACCTGTTGCCACGAATACAGACAGACTGTGCCCATAAGTCTCGCGTGGCCTTAGAGTGAGGAGAGAGTGAGAAGAGATGTGGTGTAATGTCTCTCAATGATAAAAGAGTCCCTGGCTCATTGCTTATGTGTGGCATTTGGAACGGGAACTCAAATGAGAGAGAACACATCTAGAAATACATGTATGAATAATATAAAAGTGCAATAGAAATGGAGAATAATTCCCTCCTGGTCATTTTTGACAAATTTTTGAGTAACTTTTAAAATTTGTAAAAAATCAAATTTTGATCTGAATCAGCTCAAAATTGCTACGCAACATAAAAAAATGTATATGTATCAGAAAAAATTATTAAAATGGAGAATTCTCTCCTGGTCATTTTTGGCGAAATTTGGCCAAAGACCCTGTACTATAGTACAGGGACTTTGGCCCAATTTTTGAGCAACTTTAAAAATTCATAAAAAATCCAACTTTGATCAGAATCAGCTCAAACTTGCTACACAACATAAGAAAATGTATATGCATCAGATAAAGTTATAAAATGTAAAATTCTCTCTTAGTCATTTTTGGCAAAATTTGGCTAAAGACCCATAAATCATGCATACAAAAATTGTATGCAAAATCTATAAAAATTAAACTTTACTTTTCTTCCTCCTGGAGTGAGATTCTGCACAAGAGATGACATGGCCCCACCCACTTCATTCCTGTAACTTGAAGAGAAGGTTTCAAGGGAGGCACCCAAAATAGCAGATGTATGATAATCAAGACAATCCTACAAAAATAAAAAAACAAAAAATTAATGTCATAAGACCAATTGTAGTAAGGGGTAAAATTCAGCACAGTAAAAATAATAATGCACATATATCTCATGATTTGAGTGATGCTTATAGATCATATTACATCATAATGGAGAGAGGGTGTAGCTATTGGAGACGTGGGTAAACGCCAGAGCTGGTTATTGAGTGAGAGAGGAAGGAGGAGGGATGAAGCATCCCATAACTGAGTAACAGCCATTGAGCTATTGAGTGTGTAATGAAACACGTCTTCTTGCTTCTACGAATAACAAAAATAATTAATAATTATTATTAAATAATTACTGCATTAGTTAGTATGTTTGTGGGCATGGTCCCAATAGCGAGAAGTGTCTTTGATCCCATTTCATCGGTTAGGTACTGAGATATGCACGAGGAGAGAGAACTAAAGCCTCCGATATGAGAGTCGTAGAGTAGCTGAAAACCCTGCAAGTGATCGGACTCTTCGAGAAAAAAATGCAACCTATCTTCAAATTCAAGCCTAAACTACATGTAATGATGCAGTTTGATAATAATAATAATAATAATGACAAGTTATTAATGAGTACTTGTTTATTGTTCCATGTTTCTTCTCCAGCAGGCCATACTTTAAATTGATCACTAAACAATATTATTATTATTATTATTTATTTATTTATTTATTTATTCATTTATTTCTACCTATTGTGATGGTAGTCTGGTACAGTCAGGAGGCTTCTAGGGTGTAGGTGTGGCCTCAGATAATCCGACCACACCTCTACAATTGATTCAAGCTGGTACCTCTTTTTCTCTATTACTTCTTCCTAATAGTAACACAATGAATATTGGTTCATAAATGACTACTTAAATGCCTTTATTTTAATTAATTGATATTAGCCTAATACCTCTATTTCTCCCTTGTCCATTTTCTCAAGGTCCTTTAGGTATTCGTTCTTCGAATGAGCTTCCCTTGCATGTACTTCAACGGGACCTCCCCACGTCCCTGTAGTGGGTGTGGCTGAGCTACCATTCTCCTCTACATCGTACAGAGACCCGCCATTCTTCAAGCTATAAAGACTTCCTAGAGAAATGATAAAATTATTTTTAAGCAAATTTTTTCTTAATCTTAGAAGTAAAATCCCAAAAATAAACATAATTATTCTTTTGCACTTATTACTTACCAGGACAATCAATTGATATCAACCTTGGGGTATACGTCTCTTTACCCTAAAAGTAATTATTATAAAATAAATAATAATATTATTAATACATACAGTAAGTGTGATCCCATATCGAAATGTCGCGTCGTAATTAATTTCTTTCTCTTTCCTCAGTAATGGCGACCAGAGACCCGACTCCTATTTAAAGCGCATTTTAAACCATCCAATTTCTCTCTGAGTACTTGTATATTCCACCAATGAGCACCAATAAAATTAGAGTAATGACCACACTGTATTGTCACTACCTCTCGAGTGGTAGCCATCCTTAATTTGGTAGGCGTGTTTTATTGCACCAAGCCACGCCCATTCCAAGATGGAGTTTGCAAGGAGCAGTTCGAAAAAGTAATTTTTCGATTTTATATAAAAGTTTTAAAGTTTTTATAGGGAGAGATGGTCATTAGGACTTACATTAGTAGTAAAAGGATTTATAACGGTATCACTTTTTTGGTTGTACAGTGTTTTACAAGAAACTTCCCTGGCCTCTTCACTATTTCTAATTAAAGCCTGGTCAGTAATAATACTAATGAAATTATTTTGATTTTCTCTGTTTTAGTTGTGCGACTATTTACCTACTCCATCAACGGCCTTTTAGTTCTGGAAACAAATTAACAAAAAACCAAGTAAAACATAAGACAGAGAGAGAGGGAGAGTATAATTACGAAATTAATTGCAAATATTTTGTTTATTGTAATTTTTAATGATCTATTAATTATTATTATTATTACACTCAGTGGTTTAGAGTTATACAAGTTTCAGTCCTCGGTTTAATTACAGCTGCTGTCTGGCTCACCAGTTTAAGTCTGTGCGGTGCCTTGAGGTGAGCGTCATGGGTGTGGCTTATTTTAATGACCGCGCCTACTTAATTAACAGGACTGTGTTGCTATGGGAACACAGCGATTTGGCTATTCTTGCAGTTGTGAATGTGCTGTTGGCATTTGGTAATCACTCCAAAGTAAGCGCTATTTAATTTGTTGTTTATTTTTATTGATTTATTTTTATTTATTTTTGTTTGTGATATAGAGCAGAGGGGCAGTGTTGTTTATATTGGGGATATTGATGCTACTGTTGTTCGATAACGATCAATTAAGACCAAGATTAGAACACCGTAAGAGAGAGAAGGAGTAAGGGAGAGAGAGAGAGAGAGAGAGAAGTGAAGGAATTCCTTATTCAAAAATAGGGCAAAAGTCTCTGTACTATAGTACAAGGCCTTAGGCCAAATTATGCCAAAAATGACAAGGAAAGAATTCTGATTATCTCTTTCTCTCTAGCTGAAGGTCAACACAGTGGTGCAATGGCACACTTTTTATTTTGGCTACTCTCATTTCTTGGTGTCCCCGACCATAAAGGAGGAGCTGTTCTCCTATTGATTGCTCTAGTTCTCTCAATTTTACTCAGAAACTCACAGCGACACCTTGCTGTTGACATAGGAGGTGAGAGAGAGAGAAGTGAAAGCTAAATGTAAATGTACATTTACATGTAAAAATTTTAAAGCTTATTGTGTTTCTCTATATTTTTAGGTGCAAAGCGTGTTCAAGCATTCATTCATTTCATCCAAGCCATCGTCATGTTGCCTTTGGGCGTGGTCAGTTTGTTATCGAACCCCGCCCCTTCGTTATCCTCGTTCTCCTGCCTCCTATTATTCTCTCTCTTCTCTGTCATTTATTTCTACACTGACTCTATCGCCAAGCAACACGTCGACTCGTACCAATTGGCAGCATTCACTACCTTTCTCCCTATTTTTGTATCCCTGGGTGTCTCAATATATTTAGAATATGAAAACCCTACGATGCATCACGGGCTCTCAGTGGGTGTTGTATTAGCAAGCATGTTCCTCCTGTTGGCTACTCTATTCTTAACTCGTTCTTCGCCGTCTTCTCAGGGTCTCTTGATTGGGTACTCGGCTGCTGGGCTCCCTCTCTACTCATCTCAAGTCTCCCCGCCCACTTCTATGAACTGGATAAGACCTCTCTTGGGACAGGTCATAGAGAACCCCGACTCCCGAAGGATATTCTATTTCCTTTTACTGAATCTAGTGAGTACATCTAGCTTGGAGATGGAAATGCATCTTTGATTATTTTTATTGCATTTTGTGTTTAGAAACACAACAATTCGACCAATAATACTCTCACTTTCTCTTTCTTTCCCTCTCTCTCTCTCTCTCTCCCTCTCTCAGGGATTCACAGGTGTTGAGATGGTGTATGGTATATGGACAAACAGTCTTGGTCTCATTTCCGATGGGTTCCACATGCTATTTGATTGCACTGCCCTACTAGTTGGACTCTCAGCTGCTGGCATGAGCCACTGGAAACCAACACGTCTCTATTCATTTGGTTACGGGCGAGTGGAGATACTCTCCGGGTTCGTTAATGGCTTGTTCCTTATTGTCATTGGTGGGTTCATATTCACTGAAGCTATTGGTAGACTGGTGGACCCACCAGAGATTAATACTAACAGATTACTAGTAAGTGAATGAGGCTATGAGTGAGTTTGGGTGATGTACTGTAGATACCAGGAAATATTGGCTGGGATAATAATTGGTAGATTTGCTGTAAATTTTGTATTGGCTTTTTCTTATATTGGCAATTAGATTCAAATCTAAATTTTACAATGGCAATTTCTTATTATAAAGCCAAAGCTCTAACTCTCCATTAATATTTCTCTCTTACATTGTTTATGTTTAAGTAATGGCATGTCTTCCTCTCTAGTTTGTGTCAGTTGCTGGCTTTATTGTCAACATGATTGGAGTCATGAGCTTCCATTCACACATTGGGCATTCACACGGCCACTCCCATGATCATGGCCACTCCCACGGTCACTCCCACGGTCACTCCCATGGCCATTCTCATGATCACAACCACACCCACTCTCACGGCCACTCCCACGATCATCACAGCAACTCTCATTCCCATGATCACAGCCACTCACATTCACACGACGGCCATTGTCACCACAGCAACTCGAATATGCATGGTATGATAAGTGAAAAAGATAAAATTTTTATTTATAGGAGTATGCTTTTTGTTTCTCTTCCCCTCCCTTTCTCTCCCCCTTTAGGTGTATTCCTTCACGTATTAGCCGATACCTTGGGTAGTGTTGGTGTCATCATCTCTTCGCTGTTAGTCCAGTACTTTGGTTGGCTTATAGCTGACCCGATCTGCTCTCTCTTCATTGCTATACTCATAGTCCTGTCAGTCATTCCTCTACTGAAAGCATCAGGGACTAATCTTATACTAGCTACGCCTCCTCATTCTGGTGTCCAGGAAGCACTTGATAAGGTACGTAGATTACAGGGCAAGACTTAGATGTATTCAGGTTTCTCACAAGATTTTGGCATAATGCTCAGCTTTTTACATGTTCTTGTGTTGCGTAGCAAGTTTAAACTGATTTTGATCAAAATTGGATTTTTTTAAAGTTACTCCAAAATTGGGCCAAAGTCCCTGTACTATAGTACAGGGTCTTTAGCTAAATTTCACCAAAAATGACTAGGAGAGAATTCTTCATTTTTGTAATATTTTTTGATACATATACATGTTCTTATGTTGTGTATCAAGTTTGAGCTGATTCCGATCAAAATTGAATTTTTTATGAATTTTTAAAGTTACTCCAAAATTGAGCCAAAGTCCCTGTACTATAGTACAGGGTCTTTAGCCAAATTTTGCCAAAAATGAAAAGGAGAGAATTCTTCATTTTTGTAATATTTTTTGATACATATACATGTTCTTATGCTGTATAGCAAGTTTGAGCTGATTCCGATCAAAATTGGATTTTTTATGAATTTTTAAAGCTATTAAAAAATCAGGCAGCAGTATAGGCTTAATTGTCAAAGCATGGTTTTCAGCTCACTTAACTTACTGTATGAGTATGATGTAGATAGAAATGGTATTATTGGTTCATACATAAGGTAATTGCAGCCTCTTTATAAATATAAAATAGACATTTAGAATCTACCTGTCACTAATGGTCCTATGATCAAACGCAGTTACTTTTGTATGCCCACTGTGTATCACCTAATGGACATTATTATTATAGGTCCATTACGTGCTTGTATACACAGTGGACATAACTGTGTTTGTACATTTATGGATCTCGCTTACACATGTTGTTGGATATAGAGCAATGAACTGTGTATAATTAATAATTTAATATGCCTCCACTGTGTGGGATGGGGAGACTGTAATAGTTTTACATTTTATTCTGTTTTTTTAGTTACCAATGCTGGACGGTGTTCTTTCTCATTCTGATGCTCACTTCTGGCAGCAGTCTAGCACTCAAGTGGTAGGTACAGTCCATGTGCAGGTCGCACCTTCGGCCAGTGAGCAAAAGACGGCTCACATGATCACACAGCTGTTTCGAAATAAAGGCCTTGCTCTAGCTACTCTCCAAATTGAGAAACCTCCTTTTGTGCAGAGTGGCCAGCGTGTCTCATACATGATGCAGCATCAAAGCATGACTCAACCACATGTGTACGTCGACACTGGACCTCATGTCATTAAAAACATCTAATAATCACGATTATAGTAATAATAATTATTTTTAGCAAAGCAATTTTCAATTAATTGTTAATTTATATTCATTGATGTGGGCGTGGTCATTAATAATTAATGAGATTTGTGGGCGTGTCCACACCTCCATTATGCTTTTTATATTTCTCCTGATTTTTCTTCTCTTTAACAACATATATGGGATACCAGTTCAGGCGGACGAGCTTGAAACCCTTACAATAAGAGAGGAGAATGCAACAGAGTCCTCGCCTGAAGGCAGCTTCGAGAGAGCCTGCCGTACCAAAACCCTATGCCCCGAAGGGATCTCTAATATTGTCATTGGAGGGCTCCTGTTTGGTTTTCTGGGATGCTTTGCCTGTGCTATGTGGCAGTGGGAAGTACAGGCGGAGAGGAGGGCAAGGATAAATATGGCGCTAGCTCGTAATAGAGAAATAGACAGACAGATAGAAGCAGCACGACAGTATCGGCAACAGTACCACCAAACTACCCCTCCTACCCACCCTCATTCTGTTGAAATACCAGAGTCTAAAGTATCGTTAGAGGAGTCAAGGACCACAGGTACTGGTTTAAGGGACGAGGGAGACAAGACGGCATTACTGAGACATGAAGCAGAACCATCAGGATCAACCGTTTTGCAACAATCAGACCAATGACATCAAATACACATATTAAACTAGAAATTATTATTATTATTATTATTATCATTATTGTTGTATGATGTGCATATGCTTTTTATAGTACTATTTGTCTCCGAGGATAGAGACCAAAGAAAGTCGATGGTACAAATCCTTTCATCCCTTGACCGTTCTCCACTATCCACCATCCCAAGTCTTCCTCTCTGTGCATTACAATCATTTCCTCTCCACTCATGAAGCTTAGCTCTTCATTGCTTGTTGCTACGTAGCTAAAAAGAGCATAGACTTTTCTTTCTTTAATTTTCCCGAGTCCTTGCCAGCAATCCCGCAAGTATTGGTAGCAGTTAAGTGCATCTATGTCATCATTGTCACATTCTGATGCCTCTCGGACTAAATCTATTGGATACTGTTCATCCGATGTCTGGAGGTAAAGGGACGCTCCATTTTGTAGAAGTAGATGCATTGCAGGTAGATGAGTGAATCCGGCTGCACAATGCAATGGGGTCCTTCAGATATAATATAATCATAAGTACTACTTTACAATTATCTTACCATCCTTCACAGTCTTGAGCATTCACATCACATCCGAGCTCGATAAAGTATTCCATTATACTCAGGTTTCCAGAGCAGACTGCATTGTGCAAGCAAGTAGCACCTTTGGAGCTAAAGACTTGACATCCTCCTAACTGAAAGAGAGATGACTTGTGTCTGCATAATAACATACTTTTCTAATGCATTGCTTTATTAGCTCCATGTCACCTTCCCCTGCTGCATTAAGGAGCAGTGCTGTCGCATCAAAGTAGACTCTTCCTGAGGCTTTCTTCTCGTCCTTCTCCTTTGCATTTCTCACTAGTATTCCTTTCTTTTCTTTCTTTTCGTCTTTTGACATTCGTCTCTTTTGACTAAGGGAAAATGGAAAGTCAGCTTGTGGTGACATTGGTGAGTCAACGTCTTGAGGTTTCATTGCAGCTTCACGGAAAGCCCGTGCTTCCTCTTCTACTTGTTGTTTTGTCTTTTTATTTAGTAGAACAAATCGTCTTTTAAATGAGTCTGTAAACAACAACATTCCTGTAAATCCATTTTTATTAATTTCTACCTCCTCCTTCTCTTTCTCTTTTTATCTCTCCAGGTATGCTTTGTGGTATCCCAGGTGGTGCGAAAACTGGTAAAATAATAATCAAAATCTATTCATTGCCACACACTGTGTTTACCTTCTTTTACTGTTCCATTTCCAACCCATTGCTTCATTTTATCCTTCTCCTTTTCTCTCTGGCTCAGGCTACTCTGCAAACTGGATATCTCTTCTTGCAGGATATAAATCTTATTGTCTTGCAGTTCACTCATAAATTGTCTTCTCTGGTTACATTTAGATGAAACAAATCAAAACATTTTGGTTGCTTACTTCTAATTCTAACTGAGTAGCAGAAATGGCTTCATTTAGCTCTTCCAGTCCTTCTCTTGTTTCCTTCTCTGTTTTTCTCCTCCTCTCCTCTCTGGCTTCTTTGGCTTGTGTGAGGGAGTCACTGGCTGTTTGTGAACTTCTCCTGAGGAATGTTAGTTGTTCAGTGAGCCGTGCAGCTTCATGGTTCATATTAAAGACTTCTCTAGCTATATATAGTTGCAATCATAACATTGTAGTAGACCACAAATATTGTTATTTTTGGCTGCTATAGTACTCTACTGGTAATGTTATGTTACATTGGTATGTCACTGTTATGTTACAGATTATGTGCACTATGTAACCACGTGGTTTCAGTAAACCTCCGTATACTTTAAGTGTTGCCCACGTGATTTTGCCGCCTTGAGCTTGGAAATCTTTTCTTGAATACCAGCAAAGAGAAAATGGACATTATTTTCAGCCTTTTAAAGTATTGTAAGCCACTCTAAATGCATTTATCATTCTTTTTCTTTTAGGTTACATGACTGTGTAATACAATAAAGTCTAAAGTTAGTCATTCTATTCTTATCCGACTTTTCAGTTTTCAATTTACGACATTATTTTGAATCATGTTATCAGCCATAAACATTAAATATTCTATGTGTATAAATATTTCGTGTTATAAAAGGTTTGCGATTTGTTTTAGACCAAAAAGTCTTTACTTTACAATTTAGGTATTATTTACTCTTGACAATACTAAGAGTTTTATGTGCTCGTATGGTTATATTAGCTATTACCTAATTGTTCCTTTTTACTTCGAAGACCATCCACTTTATCACTCAAAGCTGACATCATTTGAATAGTATCTCTGATTGGGTCGGAGCTGAGTCTGTCCCTTTTCAGTAGCAGTAGATTCAATCTATCCACCTCTCTCCTTGTCTCTTTTATTTCCCTTTGAATGCTTTTGCCCGAAGGCAGGGCTTGCTTCTGTGACAATCTCCTCTTTCTTTTTTCTTGCTTCTTTTGGTGTCTTTTCTCTCTTGCAACAAATGCAACACTTGTGGAGTCAGCCCATGAATTCATCACATTTTGAAAGTTATCTCTACCATTCAGCCTCTTGTCTAAAGATAAAGACATTGCATTTCCTTTGGGGCTTTAGCTACTTACTTATCCCATGCCAGCACTCCATTAAAATCCATTGGCTGCCATAACTTGTCATGTCTATCTCAAACAAACAGGATTTGATGGTATCCAGTATGTCACTGCATGTTGCAGAGTGAGAGAAGGCCACAACTAGTGGGAAACGCCTCCCAGACTTTAGCTCAATCCTTATGCTGACCTCAGAGTCTTCCATTTTATCTTTGCTGACATCCAAGAAGCTCAAGACATGAAAAATGCAAAGCGAGCCCCACCCTTTATCAGAGTTGCAAGGATACCGTAAATATTTATTTAACGGATGCAGAAAAAATTACTTTTAAATTTTAATCAAAAAATTAATTAATTAATAATAATTATTATTATTAATGATAATAATCCATTAATAATCCTGTAAATAATGAAAGAAAGATACACAGATTATAATAATAAGATTAATTATAGTTCAGTGTGCAGACGAGCTGGACGCTTTTCAAGACAGAAAGCTGGAGTACTAAACTCCATAGCATACTCGCATTTATTAGGCTCCCCAGCAGAAAGAACCTTCTCCTCCACACCACAAACCAGAGTAACAAGAGTTGATCGATTCGGTCCATTCCAGCACTTCTCTCCATTAGAGTAATGCATCACAGAATGGACAGAGGTATTAGGTGGACCATCCCATTTGTCCCATTCGCCGAGACGCGTCTCGCTCCCGCCATTTTTATTTCTCTGGGTGACCTTATCAAACATGCATAGTTTGTATGTGTACTCACGATCAGTGAACTCATAGCACTGTTGATAAAGAGGAGCAAACTGTTGATTATCACCGAAATCAATATTGAGGTATTTCTGCCTCTCGTTACGTTTTCCTTCGATGTCTCTTTTACGAGACTCGGCTTCTTCGAGATCCTTTCTTGCTTTATCGGCTGTTTCAATCAACTTTTGAGTTTCCTCGTCATAAGGAGGCATCACACTCGGGGGACTATCTTGGTCTTTGTTGTCTCCATTATCTTCATCATCATCATCATCATCATCTTCATCTTTTTTTTCATCTCCCTCCTCATTCTCTCTTTGTGCCTTCTCTTCCTCCTTCTTGGCTCTCTCGGCATCTAATCTCTCTTCTTCTCTCTTTGCTATGTTTGCAGCCATTGCATCCCAAACTCGTTCAAGAAACGTCTCAAAGTCGACCGATTCAGCTTCATCCAGGTAATGGTTAGCTTCTTCAAGAGTAACGACATTATCACCATTATCATCCAGTTCAGAGTGATTCATCACCTCTTGTGTGGTGACACGGCCATCAGAATCAGCGTCGAGCAGCATAAACATCTTCCTTGCTTCCACTTCACGCTTTGCTGCTTTGTGAGTGTTTATTGACTCCTCCCATTTATTTTTGTGTTCGTCCTTAGCTTTAGTCTCGGGATCTTCAGCATCATCTTTTGCCTGTCGTAAGGTTTCTATTTCGGACTCTATGACTCCGATATCGTTCTCGTACTGCTCTAGCTCTTTCTGGTACTCACTCTTCTTTTCCTCTCCTTGCCTTGAGTACTCTAACATCTTCTCGTATCCCTGGGCATGCGTCTCGAATCTTCTCTGTAGCTCAGCTTTAGCTGCTCGGCCCATCTCTTCACAAGTGTTGGTGCAAGTTGTGTCAGTCCCCCACTCATCTGAGCCGTCACAGCAGTCGCATATCTTATCATTGACGCGAGAGGAGAGGAGATAGGAGGCTTTGTGGCCTTTATTAGGACAATAGAAGAGGTTATCTGGGCAAGCTGAAGTCCCTGGCTCGTCAGAGCCGTCGGCACAATCACAATAGTCATCATTGACGTATTTGAATGGAATGGTGTCTGATCCGTCTAGGCAAGTGAAGCTCTTCCCTGGTACATAGAAGCTGGCTTTCTCCAGTGACACGCCGTGAATAGAAGTGGCTAGAGAAGACCCAAAAAGCAATAAAAGACAGAAATAAAAGAGGGCCATCTTTTCACCACAAACAAGGACCATGTGTGGTGGGTTCGACCTAGAGGCGGTCTTTGCAACATGGCGTCCTCGATTTCAATAGAAGCAATTTTGGAGGACCTTTCTACAGCTCCAAAAGATGATATAGTATTTAAGGAGTCTCCAGAAGATTTTGAAAAAGGTTTTTAGTAGTATTTTTAAGACTAGCATTCTCTTTTTGTTTGTAGATCAAAGCAGCAACGATAAAATAGATTATGACAAGTGTACTTCATTTTATCATTCTCATGAACTATTGGAGCAATATCGGAAAGAAGATAAATTATTGAAGACATTAGATGACATTGAAATCATGATTAAAGATTTACAAAAGCATTTACACGAACAATGAAAGTAGAATGCAGAAAAATCCCCTGTGGGGCGTGGCTGCTTGAGCGCGAGCGCTGTGCGCAATTATTGTGCATGTGCCAGCTATCCAGCATAGACCATAATGGCTAACAACGAAGTGGAAATCCAAGAGCCCATTCCTCTTGTGTGTGGGTTATGCTCGGAGTACTACACTGACCCACTTATACTTCCATGCCTTCACTCCTTCTGCATGAAATGTCTCGTTAAAATCAAAGAGGAGCAAGGAAGAGAAGAGTCATTGAAGTGTCCCACCTGTGATGCTAATGTTCCATTGCCTTCAGGTAAAGTTAAGGGTCTGACTCAGAATCTTTGGTTGGCTCACAAGGTCTTAGAGGCTACCGTGAGGGAGAAGATAAGTAGCAAGGACAGCATCCCGTGTGACCAGTGTACATCATCGAGTGACGATGCTTCTGTAGCATTTTGTTGTTCATGCTGTTTGTTTTTGTGTGATTTTTGCAAGAAAGGTCACAAACGAATGAAGAAAACCGTCCACCATGAATTAATTGAGCTAGGAGGTAAGAAGATTGGAGATGTTTCCCCCGTTGTTAGCCGTCAACCAACATATTGTGCTGTCCACGATGACGAAAAGATCAAGTTTTTTTGCCAAGACTGTGAGATGCTCGTCTGTCGTGATTGTTTCATTGTAACTCATAAAGATCACAATCGTATTGAATACACTGAAGAAGGAGATGCAGCTCGTGAAGCACTGAAGGAAAGTGCAGCAAAATGCCATGAAGCTAAAGTTTCTGGTACTTTCTTTGAATCAATTGCTAATGGGGAGGAAATGCTGCGACAGATAGACACACGCAAGGAAGAGATTGAAAAAGAAATTGAGGAAACATTTACAAAACTCAAAACCATTTTAGAGGAACGTCGCAGGTACCTTCTAGCAGAGACAGAAGAGATTGCTAGCGCTAAGAAAGAGTCGGTTAAGAAGCAGTTGAATGAGTTTCAGAGGCTTGAGAATGGAGTTCTGCTCGGTTGCCAACTAGCCCAATCTGTGAGTGAGTGTGTGGATTCTGGTGAAGTCCTTAGCATTAAGAAATTAATCACTGATCAATTGGAGAGGTGTTTAAAAGCATCAAAAGAACACCCTCGTGAGATACAGGAGGATGGGGTAATACTAACAAAATTGGAGGCTGTTGGCATAAGCAATGAGATCAATGGATTTGGAGGTGTTTTTGAGGTTGATCCTGATCGCTATTCTATTGAATCTGGGTTAGCTATTCCACTGGCAACAGTAGGGAAGCAAAGGAAATTCAAGTTGGCCATCGATACTCCATTGTCTCTGGATAAAGCTACTGCTCATTTAAAAACCTCTTTTGTCAAATGTGATGGGACTAAAGAGGAGGGTAAAGTTGTTATAGCTAATGATAACAAGGCAGCCACAATCTCATGCACACCTCAAAGTATTGGTCAGTACCTTCTATCAGTCACTGTAAGAGGTCATCATATTAAAAGTAGTCCTTATGGTCTATCTGCAAAAGCATCAAAGAATTATGCCTCACTTCCTAATTTAGGTAGCTATAATGTTGGGAATTATACATATGGTGTTGCTGTTCATACTAATGGTGATGTGTTTGCTAGTGATAGTAGCAATGGCTTTGTACAGGTTTTTAGTCAAGATAGGAATAAGACACGAACTATTGGTACAAAAGGCAATGGTGATGGTCAGTTTCAGAGTCCATTTGGTTTATTGGTAGTAGGAGACAAGCTCTATGTGAGTGATAATAGCCTTCATCGTTTACAGTATTTCTCTGCCATTACTGGTAAGTATATTGGTCAGTTTGGCACCAATGGCAATGGGAAAGGGCAATTTTCTAATCCTTATGGTATGGCATCTGATGGTAAAGGAAAGATTCTAGTAGCTGATTACAGTAATAGCAGAGTACAAGTATTTGAAGAGGATGGGACATTTGTTCAAGTCATTCAATGTAATGGTACTCCAGCTGGTGTAGCAGTTGATAATGATGGAAATATTCATGTGACTATTTATAATCAACATTATGTACAGGTGTTCCCTCCAGAAGGTACAAATCAGCTTTACACATACAACAATCCTAATGGCTACTTGAATTATCCTACTGGTATTGCTATTGATGACGAAGGATACATCTTTATCCTATCCCGATATAGTAGTACCAACTATCTGAATGTGTTAAGTCCTCAAAGAACACAAGTTAATTTAATCTCACAGTTTCATAACAGTAGCACTTGCTATGGTATGGCATTGGATAAGGATGGGCACATTTACGTTCCTGATTATTATAATCGTCGTATTATGAAATACTGACTCTAGACTGAGTTGATAACAATGGTTATTATAGAATCCTAGCTTTTTGTATTTTGGTAGAGAAATAATTTTGTACTAGTGTATTACTTAATACTTAATTCTTTTTTTCATAATAATAATAATAGTTAAACTATAATCTTTCTTTATGTATTGTTAGTCCAATTGAGTTTAATTCTTTTTCATACTCTAGCTCTTCTTTCATAATCAACTCTCTTAGCCGATTTTTACGCAACTATAAAAAGACACTACCATTAATATTTGCAGTATAATAATTCATAACATACTGTAGCTATTGACTTGTTAGTGAGCTCCAGTTCTCTCTGCATCTCCTTATGCTTCCTCTTTAGCATCTTATTCTGACTCGACTATTGATCATAATCATCCACACTATTATTATTGGAACTTTTGATTACTTCTTCCAATGATTGGGTCCAAGTAGCATTCATCAAGTCTTTCTTTTCTCTAATGGAATGATGGTAGAAACAGTACATTAGTGGTATTAAATGGCAGGTTTTCTTAGATACTCAGTATTCTGAGTCTTCCTGACCTTTTAATGTCTTCCTCTTGTGCCCGGATCCTCTCATCTTCCTACACATACAAATAAGAAGGTCAATAATAATGGAGAAAGCTTAAGCCTCACTTGTAATCTGTGTAGCTGGGCGAGCTGACCCTTTCTACTCATTTCTGTCTCCTTGCTGTGTGCAGTGTATCTTGTTATGTGGTAACTGGTAACCATTGGCAACTGAATAATTAATGAAGTTCAACGCCCACTCATATTTGATTAATATTAGTTCTTTTTATTATTATTATAAAAAATATAAAAAGGAATGTCTTTTTATGATGCTATGAGCTCTTTTATTTGAGCTACAAGTTGATTATCATCTTCACTCAAGCTTTCAGAAGACATTTCCCACCTCAGCAATACTCTCTTGTAGATACTTTGACTCAGCAGTAGCTCGGTCTTCAGTACAGCTATAAAAATAGCAAAATAATAATCATCATACTACACATCTAATCCTTTGCAATAAAGGTAAAATATAAGTTTTTCTATACACTACATTGCTCAATTTTATCACACAACAATACTTTTCTTTCTAAATATATCTTCTGTTCAGTTATGTACCTTCCCAGTTCATTTCTAATTCAAACAAGTCAATGAATGGTCTACCATTTAAGTGTGTGCAGGATCTAACAACATCAAATTGAGACACAGAGGCATCAAGACACTCCCTCATTAGTCTCTCCTAAAATAATAATAAATACTAAAAAATAAGAAACTTTATTTACTTTATTGTTTATTACGTGTCCTTCTAAAGCTTCAAAGCTCTTTTTACCTACAGTGCATGAAAATGGTAACTTTTGTTAATAAGTTTGTTGATAAGATTTTTGCTACCTTGATCATCACTGGTAATAGCTTCAGCAGCAATGGAGGGCAGTCTTGAATCCATTAGATCACTGGTTGGCAATTGTGAACTAAGAAAATGAAAGTAATACAGTTTAATTAGGGGGCACCTCTCTACCTCTTTGATGTTAACAAGTGATGAAATTTCTGGAGTTTACTAGTAATTAATGAACAATCCAACTTCCTAATAAGTGATAAGGCAACATTTAAACCAGGCTGAGAAGCAGCTAATGGAAGGAGAATGGGGAGATAGAGGAAATATTTTAATATAAAGAAGATTTTCAATGACTACTAACATTTTGGAGAAGGAGAGGGAGGAAAGAATTGTTGAACTATCAAAAAGAACACGTTGCAGTGAGATAAAATATGAACCAGTGACAGAGGAGGCGATAAATTTTGAGAGAACTGAACGAGACCATCAAACAATTGACCAAAGACTAACTGTGAACCATTAAACTAGAAAGAGAGAGGACATAATTATTATAAATATATAATAATAATAAGTTGTACATAATACCTCTTTTGAAGTTGGTGTCCCCTCTTCTATTACTAAAATAAAAAGAGACTATTTATAATGCTGGATCTCATAATATTGCTTTAAAAGCTATATATACTCACCACTTATTAATTGATTCAAAACTTGCAATACAACAGTATTGACATCTTTAATAAGTAGTGGAAGATTCTCAAACAATCTCTTAATTACCGAGAGAGTTGCTAGCTCATCACGTCTCATGGAAGCTAAGATATAATTGTAGGCGGAGTCAATAAGGACACTAAATGAGGCGATAAGATACAATAAAATAAAGAGGTGTGTCACTTGTTAATAGGTGTGGCTAGTTGCTCTCGTAGCCATGACAATGTAACAGAGGTCACTTTACTATCACTGGTCATACTAGAATAAAAAATATGGATGAAAAATGTATCACAGTATAAAAAAGCAGTGCTCATAAGAACAATTGTATGTACCAAAAAAAATCAGAATTCTCTCCTAGCTATTTTCAATAATACATGTACATGTACATGTATTTCGCCAAAGTCCCTGTACTATATAGTACAGGGACTTTGGTACAATTTTTGAGCAACTTCAAAAATTTGTAAAAATTCAATTTTTGTCAGAATCAGCTTAAACTTTCTGTGCAAAATAAGTACATGTATATGATTCACTCTCTTACTTAATTTCATGCTCATTGAATAGCCCCAACAAGTAATTTGGTTTAAAATACATCAAAATATTTGCCATTGCTGAAAACGATTGAGGATTAATTGCAAGCAGTGATCTTCTGAATCTCTCACCATGCAATAAACACTACAAAATAAAAATAAAATAATATTTTTAATTTTTCTCGAGCTAACTGACCTTTAATAAAAGTGAATGCTTATCACCACAATGCCCCATTATTAATAATAATAACATATCCTCTACTTCTTCACTGTTCTCTTCTTTATGCTGATACAATGACTGCAGACCAAATGCATCCAGTGGAAGACATTCCTGCCATTTTATATGTCCCCCCAAAGTCCTCCTTTGGTTTCTGCTAGTCACTATTAGCTCTTTAGCAACAGAGAGTGGTGACACAAAAAGTGCCAAGGAATGAAGGAGAGAGAGGCACAGAGCATTTATAGAAGAAGGGCCTTTTTCTTCTTTACACTGTATCATTGGTAATAGGCTGCATACTGTCAGCAAGATAGCAGTGACGTCAGCCCTGTAAAACAAGTTTTAAAAACCAGTCAAACGGGTTTCAACTAACTGGTATTGCCTGCAAGCCTTTTCAGATGATGGGGGCGTCTTGACGTAATGTTGAGTTAATGTCTTGAGCGTTTTCTCGAGGATTTTAGTCATTATGTGAAGAGAGAGTGAGTCATTGTGAAGGAGATTATTGAGGTCATTTGATGTGCATTGAAGATAATAATGCCACATTTGTATGGAGAATGAAACATGCTTTCCCTATGAAGATGAGCATGGATTAATTATCATTCTCTCTCTCTCTCTCTCTCTCTCTCTCTCTCTCTCTCTCTCTCTCTCTCTCTTTACAAAATATTAAAAGTATCTAAGTTATGCATGGATTTCTATGAGAAAAAATAAGTTTAAAAAAAAGCTTTTTTGATAGGTTAAATAAGTAGTATTAGTACATAAATGTTTTTCTAAAAAATGTTAATTTTACTTGGTAAGTGACTTGACTATGTAGCAAAGTCGACCGACACTTTTCAACGTGATAGCCGATAATCCTTTCAACCATAATGGAAGAGCATTGGCCCACCCACTCACCTAATTGCAGGAGAGACAACCTATAAAAAGTAACAATTAGAACTGGCATCAATGAACTAAAGAGTCCAAAATTCTCTATCATCACATAAATGCATACTAACTTCTCGTTACTTCGTATGGGCAGGTAATACAAATCACTAATTGATTTTTGAATGGAATCCAAACTATTAAATATCTTGTAATAGTACAATATGTCCTTGGACTTAGTAACAGCCTAAAATGATATGAATGAGAGGAGTGTAGTAATATTAATCATCTATAGTGTGATTTTAATCATTTTTAATGAAACCAACGCGTGAGATTAATGTTTTTGGACACTTTCACTCTCTCCTTTCATTTCTTCTTCCCTTTTTCTTTCATACTTACTTCCATTATTGCTTGAATGTGTTTCTCTAAAACCGTTAGCACATTAATGAGTCTCGGGGGATCATTTCTCTGGTTGTTCCTCACAATGAAATGAGCTAGTGTATTTAGCCATTGAGATATACTGACAGCAGTCTGCAATAAGATTGAGATTGCTCATATCTGCAGTGTATTTTGTCAAATTCTTTCACATAAGAGCAAGTATATGCATCAAAGTAAATTATAAAAATGGAGAATTCTCATTTAGCGAATTTGAACAAAACACCCTGTACTATATGTTCTGTCCAGTACCAAAATAACTGATACTCTAAAGATATTAAATTTCCATTGTAAAGGCTATAGTTTTTCCAAAAAATGGCTCCAAAATCATCCCAAATTTTTATTACATTTTCTGATACATATCAATGTCCTTATGCTGTGTAGCAAGTTTGAGTTGATTTTGCCTTCGACTTTTCGAGTTACGACCATTTTAAGAAAATGCTAAAATTCTAAAAAATACCCAAGGCTATAGTCCATGGTTTTTCCAAAAAATGGCTCCAAAATCACCCCAAATTTTTTATTATATTTTCTGATACATATCAATGTCCTTATGCTGTGTAGCAAGTTTGAGCTGATTTCGACTTCGACTTTTTGAGTTACAGCCATTTTAAGAAAATGCTAAAATTCTGAAAAATACCCAAGGCTATAGTCCATGGTTTTTTCTGAAAAATGGCTCCAAAATCACCCCAAATTTTTATTATATTTTCTGATACATATCAATGTCCTTATGCTGTGTAGCAAGTTTGAGCTGATTTCGACTTCGACTTTTCGAGTTACGGCCATTTTAAGAAAATGCCAAAATTCTGAAAAATACCCAAGGCTATAGTCCATGGTTTTTTCTGAAAAATGGCTCTGAAATCACCTCAAATTTTTATTACATTTTTTGATACATATTGATGTCCTTGTGCTGTGTAGCAAGTTTGAGCTGATTTCGACTTCAATTTTTCAAGTTACGGCCATTTTAAGGAAATGTCAAAATTCTAAAAATCTCAGGATTTTTTTTCAAAAATGGCTCTAAAATCACCCAAAATTTATACTACATTTTCTGATACATAAAGCAGACTGTAGTACAGCGTCTTTGGTCCAGTATTTTTTTTTGTTTTTTTTCTATAACATAATAACTATTACCTGATGTCTGTGCTTCTCTGGAAATGGTCTTAACCATGGCAGCCATTCTTCTGTCATTTTCTTCAAAAATGGTACGAGACTTTCAGAGCAGGACCAATTAATAAAATTCTCACTAGTGCTACGTTCTTGGCAAAGTTCTACGATACAAAAACCAATGCTAAGCACTTCAAAAGTACTCTCGGAGTCCTTTCTTGGCTCTTTAAGATTTGATATCAGTCTAACCACACCCTCTTTCCATTTCTCTTTCAAAAGAGTACACAAGAGCTTATCGTCTTCTCTTACTAATTCAAAAACTGTCCAAAACCGTGTCTTCCATTGAGAAATCTTCCTCCTTACACTCTCCTCTTTCTCAAGCTCTACGTTTAACGGGGGATAATCAGTCCATTTGCTAAGACATGTAAGATGCCTGCTGTCTCCTCCAGGAGCACCTGGTTTCTCTCCTTCAACACTTAGGAACACGAGGCATAGTTTTTGTAGTAGATTCTTCTCGTTCCTTGAGCTTGGGGATAGAGATAATAGCTTCTCAATGAGAAAATGGAGCTGTTCTCCTTCTCTTCCTCCACCTTCCATTAGTGCTTTAAACTTAAAAGTGCAAAAACTGCAAAATTGGGTGGGCAGGGTACATGTAGATCAAGGTGAGTAGAATTGTATTATGTTAATTAATCTAAATACAGTTAAGGTTTTTTAAAGATTATTTTTCAAAAAAAAGAATTATTATCTAAAAATTAATGATTCTAAAATTGATTGCAAAAAAAAACATCATAATAATATTATTATTAAATTTTTTTAAATAGAATTATATGAAATGGGTTTGATTGATGATAAAAATTGTTATGTCCTTAACGGTTAGACTGGAGATGATGCATTGTCATCATCGATATTATCTTCTTTTATTGAAGCAGCACTATCATCATCATCGCTGCTACTGCCCTCATCCTCATCTTCTCCTTTCTTACGATATCTACACATAAAAAGAAAAAAAACATTGTCATTATTTGTCATTGTAATAATAATATTGAAAACTTACGCTGCAAGCTCAGTAGAATACTTCCTCTCTGTAAAAAAAGAAAAATAAAAATGCAGCAATTAATTGTAATCCAATAGCGTATTATAACAATGAATAGTATACATGTATATGATAGGATAAGGGCATGCAAGATTGTGTACAATACAAGTATTCTTTACCGTGTTCTTCAGGGTCATAGTCCCTTTTCTTTCTGGCACACAGACAGCAGAAGCAAATGAAGCAGCATATACAGCATATGCAGCAAATGAGGAGGGAGATGAAAACTATCAACAAGATAATCCACAAGGGGAAGGGTTCAGCACCAGAGACTGGCTCTGAAATATGATCGTTAACAATAAATATGTGCTCTTCGCTAAGAGGACTATCACCAACGACGTTAGATGCGGAAACAGTAAGATTGAAGATTTCATTGGGTTCGTATGAGAGAAAATACGAATTATTGGTTGTAACGACGCTGTGGATATCATCAGGTCCAAGCTGTCTCTTATCAGTAGTGCCTCGATTGCTATTGGTCACCCTCCAATATAGTGTATAGTTACGTACTGGTCGCTTTGGTGTTATCTGTTGAGTCCATTCGACGTAAAAGTACTGATTCAAACGATCATGAATCCTTACAACTGTTATTCTTGGCGTAAAAGGGCGGAAACCTCGAACTGTCAATTGGAGTTTTAGCGTCCCATTTATGTCCTTATTGCGACAAGAGAAATTCCCAGAGTCCCTTAGCGTGAGACCCGTTGTGGTTAGATGACCAGATGCTGTAACAATGAATGAAGGGAGTGGACTGCAGTTGTAAGCTTCCCTGACAGAAGGGAATAGAGAGAGGCGAATTGGAGTCAGCCAATCCAGAGTCCTTGAACCTAAAAACAATAATGATAATAATAATAATAATAACAGTTTTGCTTATTATTTTAATAATAATTATGTGCTTTTAATGAAATAATAATAATAATAATAATAATAATAATAATAATAATAATGATGATGATAATAGTACTAATAGTACATAAATGAAAGTTTTATTATGGCAGTGTATGTTTTATTCTGACCTTTGATGTTTAATTCAATCTTTGATGAAGCCACACCATTGCTATGGGATGCAAAGCAATGATAGAAGCCAACATGATCATATGATGCATTTAGCAGAACCAGGCTCGATGTGTTTTCCCCAACAAGCTTTACACCATCTTTCGACCATTCATATCCTGTTGCTATAACTGTGTTGCCACAAGGAATAACAATTCTTCTACCAAGCAATCCTTCAATAGTGCTTGATGGTGGTGTAGGAACTAAAAGAATAAAATATGATTTAAAAAAATGAAAAACAGTTACACACTCACTAGATACATTAATACTAATGGTAAGTGTAGCTCCTCCAAGATCAGGCGAACTGAAAGTGTATGTTCCAGAGTCTTCTGGTCTAAGTTCATCAGTCACTAGTTCTCCTGAGCTTGTAAGTCTTATCCTTGGGTTACTTGGAGATATAGTGTATCCACTGGGAACTGAAGGAGCAAAATTTGATATCCTTTGTCGATTTAAACCATTTATTGATAGAAAACCTAAAACGTCAAGGTAAGTAACAATTTAAAAATTATAAAACTTTCTACTTACTTGTCACACTGATTGCTGTACTGCTGGAGTTAGCACTTCCTCTAGAGTTACTTACCGTACAGCTGTATAAACCAATATCAGTAGTGTTGATGTTTCGGATACTAAGAGTGGAGCCTGTTTCACCAGGTATGGCCTTTCCATTCCTAAACCATTGATACGTAAAGTCTGTAGGAATACCACCAGCTACCACACTGATATCAACTGAACTGCCTGAAGACACTGTCTGTGGGCCACTGATGCTAATGATATATGCAGGTCCTAATTATTAAAAAATATTATTCACTTTCTTTTATAATTAGGAACATACCAAGTACATTAACACTGATGCTAAGTGTAGCTCCTCCAAGATCAGGCGAAGTGAAAGTGTATGTTCCAGAGTCTTCTGGTCCAAGTTCATCAGTTACTAGTTCTCCTGAGCTTGTAAGTCTTATCCTTGGGTTACTTGGAGATATAGTGTATCCACTGGGAACTGAAGGAGCAAAATTTGATATGCTCTGTGGAGCAGAATGATTTATTGATAGAGAGCCTAAATACATCAAGGTGAATCAAAATATCAAAATATGAAAAAGTAAATTCTTACTTGTCACACTGATTACTGTACTGCTGGAGTTAGCACTTCCTCTAGAGTTACTTGGTGTACAGCTGTATAAACCAATATCAGTAGTGTTGATGTTTCGGATACTAAGAGTGGAGCCTGTTTCACCAGGTATGGCCATTCCATTCCTAAACCATTGATAAGTAATTTCAGTAGGTGTACCACCAGCTATCACACTGATATTAACTGAACTGCCTGAAGACACTGTCTGTGGACCACTGATGCTAATGATATATGCTGGAGCTAAGGAGAAAAGCATTAACATAGCCACAGGAGTTCATGTTAAAATACAAAATGCTGATCTTACCAAAAAAATTAAGACTGATGGTAAGTGTAGCTCCTCCAAGATCAGGTGAAGTGAAAGTGTATGTTCCAGAGTCTTCTGGTCCAAGTTCATCAGTCACTAGTTCTCCTGAGCTTGTAAGTCTTATCCTTGGGTTACTTGGAGATATAGTGTATCCACTGGGAACTGAAGGAGCAAAGTTTGATATGTTTTGTGGATTCAAACCATTTATTGATACAGAACCTAAACATGTCAAGGTGAGTTAAAATTTTTTAATCTTAAAATTTTGTACTTACTCGTCACACTGATTGCCGTACTGCTGGAGTTAGCACTTCCTCTAGAGTTACTTGGTGTACAGCTGTATAAACCAATATCAGTAGTGCTGACATTTCGGATACTAAGAGTAGAACCCATTTCACCAGGTATGGCCATTCCATTCCTAAACCATTGATAAGTAATTTCAGTAGGCGTACCACCAGCTACCACACTGATATTAACTGAACTGCCTGAAGACACTGTCTGTGGCTCACTGATGCTAATGATATATGCTGGAGCTAAGGAGAAAAGCATTAACATAACCACAGGAGTTCATGTTAAAATACAGAATGCTGATCTTACCAAAAAAATTAACACTGATGGTAAGTGTAGCTCCTCCAAGATCAGGTGAAGTGAAATTGTATGTTCCAGTGTCTTCTGGTCCAAGCTCATCAGTCACTAGTTCTCCTGAGCTTGTAAGTCTTATCCTTGGGTTACTTGGAGATATAGTGTATCCACTGGGAACTGAAGGAGCAAAGTTCGATATGTTTTGTGGATTCAAGCCATTTATTGATACAGAACCTAAACACGTCAAGGTGAGTTAAAATTTTTTAATTTTAAAATTTTGTACTTACTTGTCACACTGATTGTTGTACTGCTGGAGTTAGCACTTCCTCTAGAGTTACTTGGTGTACAGCTGTATAAACCAATATCAGTAGTGCTGACATTTCGGATACTAAGAGTGGAACCCGTTTCACCAGGTATGGCCATTCCATTCCTAAACCATTGATAATTAATTTCAGTAGGCGTACCACCAGCTACCACACTGATATTAACTGAACTGCCTGAAGACACTGTCTGTGGACCACTGATGCTAATGATATATGCTGGAGCTAAGGAGAAAAGCATTATCATAACCACAGGAGTTCATTTTAAAATACAGAATGCTGATCTTACCAAAAAAATTAAGACTGATGGTAAGTGTAGCTCCTCCAAGATCAGGTGAAGTGAAATTGTATGTTCCAGTGTCTTCTGGTCCAAGTTCATCAGTCATTAGTTCTCCTGAACTTGTAAGCCTTATCCTTGGGTTACTTGGAGATATAGTGTATCCACTGGGAACTGAAGGAGCAAAGTTCGATATATTTTGTGGACTCAAACCATTTATTGATACAGAACCTAAAGACATTAAGATGAGTTAACTTACAACATATCAAGCTTGAGGTTAGTTACAAAACTTCAATTACAATGATAAGTTTAAGAACACTTCTTTTGTGACAATAGACTCAATTAGAATTAAAGTTATGTCATGTTGAAGCAAATTTCAATTACAAATACTATTTTTGATGTTTTATTGCATCAAACAGAAACATGGCTTGCTTTAAAACAAAAGAAGTTACTGGTTTTAAAAGATGATTGCAGTTAAGCTGCTGAAGTACTGGTTGTGTCATTACTGTCACTACAATTTTCAATTTTGATCTCAAACTTGCTATACAACATAAGAACATCAGAAAATATTATAAAATAAAAAATTCTCTAATAGTCAATTTTGGCAAAATTTGGCTAATGACCCTGTACTAGAAGGAACTTTGGCCCAATTTATCAGTAACTTTAAAATTTTGTTAAAAATTCAATTTTGCTTGACAAAAGGTCTAACTTGCTACACAACATCAGAAAATTTATATAAATGGATACTTCTCCTTCAGCTAATTATGAAAAAATACGATGAATTAGGGTTTTTTTGCACAGCTATATTTAGCAAGCTAAACAACAAACCTCATGCACCTGTAGAAAACTAACAAATAAACTGGGAAAGTCTGACTCTGTCATATGATTCAATAAAGTTTGGTAGGGAGATTTTAAAAAATCTCCTGTTTTTAGATTGAATGGCCATGACTCAATTAAGGATTAAGCCACAAATGCAATCACAATTATGTAACTGTAATTTTAATTAATCTGCTGATTATATAGAATTGTAATTAACGCTAAGTCTTTCACAAATTTATGTACTTACTTGTCACACTGATTGCTGTACTGCTGGAGTTAGCACTTCCTCTAGAGTTACTTACCGTACAGCTGTATAAACCAATATTAGTAGTGTTGATGTTTCGGATACTAAGAGTGGAGCCTGTTTCACCAGGTATGGCCATTCCATTTCTAAACCATTGATACGTAAAATCAGGACTACCACCAGCTACCACACTGATATCAACTGAACTGCCTGAAGGCACTGTCTGTGGACCACTAATGCTGATGACATGTGCTGGCCCTAATTTCCAAGAGTAATGTTCATTTTCTTTCATAATTAGGAACATACCAAGAACATTAAGACCGATGCTAAGTGTAGCTCCTCCAAGATCAGGTGAAGTGAATGTGTATGTTCCAGAGTCTTCTGGTCCAAGTTCATCAGTCACTAGTTCTCCTGAGCTTGTAAGTCTTATCCTTGGGTTACTTGGAGATATAGTGTATCCACTGGGAACTGAAGGAGCAAAGTTCGATATGCTCTGTGGAGCGGAGCCATTTATTGATACAGAACCTAAACACGTCAAGGTGAGTTAAAATTTTTCAATTTTTAAATTTTGTACTTACTTGTCACACTGATTGCTGTACTGCTGGAGTTAGCACTTCCTCTAGAGTTACTTACCGTACAGCTGTATAAACCAATATCAGTAGTTCTAATGTTTCGGATACTAAGAGTGGAGCCTGTTTCACCAGGTATGGCCATTCCATTTCTAAACCATTGATACGTAAAGTCAGGAGTACCACCAGGTACGACACTGATATCAACTGAACTGCCTGAAGGCACTGTCTGTGGACCACTGATGCTGATGACATGTGCAATTCCTAAGTATCAAATGATAATGTTCATTTTCTTTCATAAATAGGAACATACCAAGTACATTAACACCGATGCTAAGTGTAGCTCCTCCAAGATCAGGCGAACTGAAAGTGTATGTTCCAGAGTCTTCTGGTCCAAGTTCATCAGTCTCTAGTTCTCCTGAGCTTGTAAGCCTTATCCTTGGGTTACTTGGAGATATAGTGTATCCACTGGGAACTGAAGGAGCAAAGTTCGATATGCTCTGTGGAGCGGAGCCATTTATTGATACAGAACCTAAACACGTCAAGGTGAGTTACAATTTTTCAATTT